CGGAAACCCTGTACAGGGTCGCTATGGGTCGGACCCGACTCGATGGCACTTAACAACAACAACAACAACACCTTAACATAAAGATAAATAACAAAACAAAACAAAAAAGGGCCACAAACTTGAGTGTCCATTTCACCAAAGAAGATGTGCAAATAGCCAACAGACATGTGAAGAATGGTTCGATATTATTGGTTCTTAGGGAAATGCCAACCAAAACCACAATGGGGTACCACGTCACTCCCACTCAGTTGGAAAACAATGTGGTAGTTCCTCAAAAAGTAAAACAGAGGACTACCTCTGTTTAATTGATCCAATTCCACTCCTAAATATCCAAGAGGTTTGAAAGCCATGATGCAAACACACACACACACACTAGTCATTGTAGCACGATTTACAATGAAAATGTTCACCAGCAGATTAATGGACTTAGAAATATGACATAGTATGCCACCATATATATGGTGGTTATGTGGTGGTTATGTGCCGTGGAGTTGGTTGCCTCTTATAGCGAACCTGTACAGGGTTTCTGAGGCAGTAAATCTTTACAAGAGTAGAAAGCCTCATCTTTCTCCCATGGAACTGCTGGTAGTTTACAACTGCTGACCATGAGATCAGCAGCCCAACTCGTAACCACTACACTATCGGAGCTTCTTTTGCCACCATATAGAAAATGAAATCCAGATATGTGCTCTGACATGGATGAACCTTGAAAACATTATACTAAGCAAAGTAAGGCAATTACAAAAGGACAAATATTATATGATCTAGCTCGTATGAAATATATAGAATATATAGAATAAGCAAATGAATAGAAACTAAAGTTTGTTAGAAGTTACCAGGGTTGGGAGGGAGGAGTAAAAGGGGGTAATTGTTTGCGAAACATTCATTGAATTTCTGTTTGTTGTTGTGAAGTGCTGTTAAGTCAGTTCCAACCCATAGCGAATTTATGTTTGGGGGTGAAAAATTTAGCAACAAATTGGTGATGGTTACACATGATTAGTGTGGAATCACTAAATTGTTTATGTGAAAAACATTGAATGGGCAAATGTGTTATATATGTTTTTACAGCAATTTTTTTTTTAATGGAAAAATAGATCCTCAGTAGGGATGTTATTGTGTTGTGAAGTACCGTGGAGTCAGTTCTGACTCATAGTGACCCTGCACAAGGTTTCCGAGGAGAGCAGAAAACCTCATATTTCTCCCACGGAACTGCTGGTAGTTTCAAACTGCTAACCTTGAGGTTGGTAGCCCAACTCATAACAACTATGCTACCACAGCTCCCTTCAGTAGGGATAGGTCTTGGTCTCTATATCACCAACTATGCTCAGACTTGAATCTCCTGTCTATATCAAATCCTGTTACAAGCTCATCAGAGTTCCCCGCCCTCTCAACATTTAACAGGGATGGTAATTTTCCATTTATCTCTGTGACTAATTAATCCACAAGAATCTGTTTCTGTAGCCTCACTGAGACTATATATTCCATAAACACAGAGCTTCTGTGTTTTACTACATGAAGCATTATGATTAATGCATTATTTTCTATTGTTGCTGTGTTCAATAAATCTTTATTGAATGAAATGGTATTTTAAGGTGGTCTAGAATGCTATGTTCAGTAACATCATATGCATGTGAAAGCTGCACAGTGAATAAGAAAGACAGTAGAAGAATTGATGTTTTTGAGTTGTGGTGTTGGAGGAGAATATTGAAAGTGCCATGGACTGCCAAAAGAACCAATAGATCCATTTTGGAAGAAGTGTACCCAGAATGCTTCTTGGAGGCTAGGATGGCCAAACTTCATCTCTCATCCTTCGGACATATTGTCAGGAGGAACCAGTCACTGCAGAAGGGTATCATGTTTGGTAAGGTGGAGGGTCAGAGAAAAAGAGGGAGACCCCCAACGAGATGGATTGGCCAAGTGACAGCATCGATGGACACAAGTGTGGCAACAGTAGTGAGGCTGGCCCAGGACCGGGCAGTGTTTCATTCTGTTGTGCATAGGGTGGCTATGAGTCATACCGACTCGATGGCACCTAACAACAACAACAACAATTCTGTTTTAAACAAGGTTCTTTAGCTTAACTCAATCTTTATTTATTGTTTATTAGTTTCTACAGAGAAATTGACAATCACAGTGTTCTTTTTGTTTGTTTTACAGTTAACTTTGACCACTTTGAAATTTTGCGAGCCATTGGGAAAGGCAGTTTTGGAAAGGTGAGAAACAAAATAATTAAATAAATTGTACATGTGAAAAACATTGAACAGGCAAGTGTGTTATATATATTTTTATGGCAATTTTAAATAATAGAAAAGTAGATCCCCAGTATGGATAGATCTCTATATTATCATCTGTGCTCAAAGATGAATCTCCTGCCTATGTCAAATCCTGTTATAAGCTCTTTAGAGTCTCGCGCCCTCTCAGCATTTAGCAGGAGTTACTAGTAGGGTTGTAGCTGGCATCCTAGTGCAGTGCTGTGGGCTAATGTGCTGGACTTCAAACTCAGTTTGAACCTCAAGACTGGTGGTTCAAGTTCACCATCTGCTCTGTGGAAACTCTATATAGGGTCACTATGAGTTGGAACTCACTCAACAGCACATAACAACAATAAAGGTTGTCTAGCTCAGGGAAGAGAGCATTCAATAGTTGAAGAGAGCATTCAATAGAATTCTCAGACTATAGAATTTTGGAAAACATAAGGAGGGAATTCAGAGATGTATTTAAGTTTATAAAAGTTTCACCAAAATTTGAGGCAAGCGTGTGACTGGAAGCTATACAATGAACATAGACTATTCTCAAATTTGCAAATTTGCACTTAAGTCAAATCTGTTCACTCTCATTAGAGTTTTAGATGTTTTTCTCTATTCTAGAGAATAATGTTTCAGAATTCGTTTTCAAATTGTATGATTAAGGTTTATCTCCGGTCATCTGACCAGCATAATTGTTACTTTTATTCATGTGTGGAAGAAGTCTTTATTTCTTTTTCCCTAGTCATATCATCCTTTCATCTTCAAACACCTACCATGAAAAAATATATTCAGTCTGACTTTTTGTAAGAATCCTCTAACTTGAGAAGCTGTATATTGATCTCTCCACAGGGACATGCTTTAAGAGGGAATGCTATTTCATATTCCATGTTGAACTTGTATTTTAAAAACACCTGCTGTCTCTCCATTTTGTCAGGTATCAAATGGGCCTCTACAGTTTCAAAAACACATGATGTTTCAAGTGTCCACACTACTTTAAGTTCTTTTGTGGTCTATCACCCATGGCTATAAACAGAAATTCTTTGCATAATTATTGATCAGGTGAATATATTAGCCATGCCCATTTCAGATACTGACACCAAAACAGTGGGTGTCATTTTTTACTGGGAGGGGCTATTTTCTCCAAAATTTTCTCTGTAAAACAACAGCAAAAACAACAGACAAACTTCTTTGAGTTGATTTGGTGCAGAGTATCAGAATGAAAATTTGACTCTTAAATCAGAGCTGAGTGGCCACTCTAACATCAGAGAATTTACAAGTGTTAAGACACCTAAATCATGTCAAAGAGCAAGTCTTGATCTCTCATGTCATTTCCCTATCCATATTCTCATGCTGATTTGCACCATCAGGTCTGCATTGTACAGAAGAATGACACCAAGAAGATGTATGCAATGAAGTACATGAACAAACAAAAGTGTGTGGAGCGCAATGAAGTGAGGAATGTCTTCAAGGAACTTCAGATCATGCAGGGTTTGGAGCATCCTTTCCTGGTTAACTTGTGGTAAGTGATTTCAAAGAGAGATTCTCCTGTCCCACCTCCCCACCTTCACCATCAAGTACTTCTACTTACACAGCTCTTGATTTCTAGGTGTTCCGAGGGTTTTTATTCTTCTCAGCATTTATTTTTACCAATAAGTACTACTTAGTTTAGTAGTAACAGTGCCTTTTGTCCTTGAGCCCAATATTGTTGTTAAGGTATTGTATTTAAATTGACTCATAAAAACTGAATTTGAATGTCTTATGGTGCTGTGGGTTAATGCGCTGGACTGCAAAGTTGATTCAAACCTCCATGTCAGCAGCTCAGTCTTACCTTGAAAACCTCAAAGTCAGCAGTTCAGTCTCACCTTGGAAACCCTATATGGGGTAACTATGAGTTGAAACTGACTCTACATTACTTAACAACAACAATCATGCATTAGGAGTACTGGTGAGTGCTGTAGGTTAAGAAGTGAACTGTTAATCTAAAGTTTGGTGGTTCAAACCCACCAGCTGCTCCTCAGAAATTCAATACTGGGTTGCTATGAGTCAGAATCAACTGGAAGGTTCTTAACAACAACAGTCATTAAAGGAGTGGTGGTGCTGTGAGGTTGGCATTGGACTGGTGATCACAAAGTCAGTGTTTCAAGCCCACCAGATGATCTGTGGAAGAAATCTGTCTGCTCCCATACAAATTTACAATTTTGGGAACACTATTAGTATCGTTGAGGAGTTCTGGTAGCATAGTGGTTACAAATTGGGCTGCTAACCTCAAGGTTGGCAGTTTGAAACTACCAGCTGTTCCACAGGAGAAAGATGAGGTTCTGTAAAGATTTGCAGCCTTGGAAATCCTGTGCAGGATCTCTATGAGTCAGAACCAACTCCATGGTAACAACACATTAGTACCATTGGAGTCCTAGTGTGGTGCTGTGGGTTAATGCGTCAGACAGCAAAGCTGTTTGAATTGCAAGGTCAGCGGTTCAAACTCACCAGCTGCTCCTTGGAAACCCTATACAGGGTCACTATGGGTCAGAATCGACTCGACGGCACTTAACAACAACAACATTAGTACTATTATGAGTCAAAATTGACTTAAGACAATGGGTGGGTGGGTGTCATTTATTAGATACTTCTTCCCATTAACTGTTAAAGAAAGGTTTGGGGCACAACGTATGTATGGCTTTTCAGGGTCACATGAGGTTCATCTCTAGAATTTGTACACAGTGCAATTCCATTGCCTTTAAAATAATTGTAAAACTAAGGTTTTTATTCCCAGCATGTTTCTTAAGTAGCCAAAAAAGGGACAGAACAAAATAAAACAAAAATACAATACCGTCAAGTCAACTCTGACTAATAAGGACCGTATAACACAAAGTAGACTGACCCCATAGGGTTTCTAAGGCAATACATAATCCTTATGGCCACCAGCTGCCAGTTTCTTCTACTGTGGTGACTTGGAAGTTGCCATGATACCAGAAGCTATGCCAGTATTTCAAATACCAGTCACCCATGGTAGACAAGTTTTGGCAGAACTTCAGGACTGACACAGAATTGGAAGAAAGACTTGATAATCTACTTTTGAAAATTAGCTAACAAAAACCTTGTGGATTACTTTTCAACAGAACACTGTCAGACTTGCTTGGTTAAGACACGTCATCATAAGGTGGCAATCGCGTCTGGTGCAGTAGCAGGCCAATGAGGGTGAGGAAGACCCTCAGTGGATGGTGGTTGTGTGCCAGTGACACATAGTGATGCTGTATAGGGTTTCTAAGGCTGTAAATCTTTACAGGAACAGAAAGTCTCATCTTTATCCTGTGGAACTGATGATAGATTCAAACTACTGACCTTACCACTTTTAAAATGTCATCCTTGGAACAGTGTTAACTCTCTTGCCAAAGAATTAAGAAATGTATAACACATTCCAGGCAAAAGAAGTTAGCAAGGTAGAGGTTTAGGGAAATGAATGACAGGTTTATTATAAAAGACATTCTTCCACCTTGCGGAAAGAAAAGAGGCGGTACCGCAGTACAATCTGGCTTCTTCTTTGTATACCCCCATGTCAGGAGAGTGGGCTAGGAATGCTTGTGCAAATAGTTCACAGACCTTTCTTTGAATCCTGCTTCCTCGGGTTTCAACCTATCATCAACTAACTTTATTTTCCTTACCTACCCCTCTGACCTACCCGTCTGAACTAACTTTATTTCTGCTTATAATAGTTTCTTCTCTCTCCTACCACCTTGTTATTGTTGTTAAGTGCCTTCAAGTCAGTTCTAACTTATAACAACCTGTATAGGGTTTCTGAGGAGCAGTTGGTAGGTTTGAACTGCCGATCCTGTGGTGCACAGTCTAGTGCCAAACCAGGAGTCCCCTACCCCCTTAGCTAACTTCCTTTCTTTTTGCTCCCCAACCCCTCTTTTCAGAAAAGTCCTTATTGTTGAGGTTGGCTTGTTTCCTGTCATTGACTTGAGACCTGCTTCTTGTCCTGTTCTAACTACCTAATATCTTGTAGTTAGCAAGCCAGCTCACAATCCACTACATACCAGGGCTCCTTACAGTGCAAATACCATGTAGATAAATAGACTCAAACTTGCTGGTGTTTGTGGAGATGATTCAGGACTGGGGCAATGTTTTGTTCTTTTGTACATAAGGTTGAAGTTGACTCCTACTCCATGGCAACAATCTATTTCTCTAATCTTTATGAAAACAGACTATGGTGGTGTCAAACTGACAACCCTTTGGTTACCATCTGAATGCTTAACCACTGTGCAACCAGGACTCCTGAAAAGGGGGAAGGTGTTGACTTTCTGATGTAATGGATTTGAACAGAACTGGAACTAACTTATGTCAATGGCTAGTCAATAAATGACTGTGAGCCTTTCTGAAAGCAATTACCTTAATACAAGGATGGTTGTTATTGTTGTTAAGTGCCAAGTCGATTCTGACCCGTAGTGACCCTTTATAGGGTTTCCAAGGAGCAGCTGGTGAGCCTGAACCACCAACCTTGCAGTTCAAACGACTTTGCAGTCTGAGACATTAATCCACAGCGCCACACCAGTACTCAATGCAAGGATTAGAAGATGGCTAAGAAACAACTTTTACCTCCTGATCTTTTGTATATGGAAGCCTTTAATGGGTCTCCTCTATTTTGCTTTAAATTTTAATACAGAGTTAAGAAAAGGAGCTCTGGTAGTGTAGTAGTTACGAATCAGGCTGTGAACCACAAGGTCACCAGTTCTAAACTACCAGCTGTTCCGCAGAAGAAAGATGAGGCGTTCTGCTCCCATAAAGATTTACAGCCTCAGAAACCCTGTACAGGGTCGCTATGAGTTGGAACTGACTCCACCATGGCACTTCACAACAACAACAACATTGTGTTAAGAAAGGAGCTCTGGTACCTTTGTAGTTACAGAATCAGGCTGCTAATCTCATGGTCAGCAGTTCAAAACTACCAGCTGTTCTGTGACAGAAAGATGAGGTTTTCTGCGCCAGTAAAAATTTACAGCCTCATATGCAGGGTCCATATGAGTCGGAACTGACTCCACTGGCACATAACAACAACAACATTGTGTTAAGAGCCAGTTCTTAGAGCGAATTCATTATGACTTTAGGCTAAATATCCATACTAAGTAGTCTTATTAGCAAAACAAAGAAGGAAAAGGCTGTATTCAGAGACATAATAGAAAAATAATAGAGATCTCACTGTTGTTTACGGACATCTCTGAAGAAACCAGTGTATAAAACTCCTTCTCCATCTATCTTTAATTAACACCGTTCATTTAATGTATAATTTGCTCACAGTTTCAGTGCCACAGTTGAAAAGAAGATGGTTCTGGGTTGGAAAATAGGTCTATTATAGTTTATGCATTACTCCAACGTGGCTGAGTCTAATTTTGACTCAGGCTCAGTAATTTAATCAGGATTTTAGAGAGCTCTATTCAAAATGCTGTCATTTAAAGAGTTAAAATGGATGCAGCTCAACTCTCCTCCATCCTTAGCAATCATCAAATTGCCTCTTCTGTTCTCTCTCCACTTTGGGAGTGACAAGGTGCTGTCACTTCACAGCCTCCCTTTGTTCAAAGTTATATTTTTTTTCCCTTAAAAGTTCAACCAACTAATTTTCTACTTGTAAAACCAGGAAGCCTTCAAAAAGACATAGCAGTTTTGCCTTTTCATGCTTATCACCCATTGCTAAGTAGAGAAAGTTGGTTTCATTCTATTCCTATTTAAAAAAAAAAAAAAAAGTGGGGGTGGGAGTAGAGGCAGGGAGGGTGGGATGTTGTAAGGTTTTACACTGGCCAAAGTTTAGCCTCTTTGCTGTTGGCTAACTTGGTGTCATTTCAGAAAACAAGATGTTTCCCATACACATAGACCTGGGGGGTGAGGGGTGGACTGGATGTATAGTCTACACCTGAACACTGAGAACCATTAGCAGTGATGGAAGAGGGGAAGAGAGAGACAACCCCCAAAGATTTCAGCATCACAGTCAGTACTGGAAACTGGGAGGGAGCTTTACCAGAAGTGAAGCTGAAATCCTTTTGCCTTTCAAACCTTCAAAAAGCAATATTTAGAAAATATTTTTCCTTCTAATATATTCTTTCTGCCCTAGTTACCATGTTGTTGTTGTTGTTAAGTGCCATCGAGTCGATTCCGACCCATAGCGACCCTGTACAGGGTTTCCGAGGGTGTAAATCTTTATGGGAGTAGAAAGCCTCATCTTTCTCCCGCGGAGCGGCTGGTAGTTTCGAACCGCTGACCTTAAGGTTCGCAGCCCGATTTGTAACCACTATGCTACCAGAGCTCCAAGTAACTACTTCTACAACTAATAAGCATCTTGCAATGCTTTTTGCAGTGTGATTGTGAGTAATTTACACTATTATTCTAAGACACAAGATAAGGTTCCTGTGTCCAATTTACAGTGTTGGTTTTGTATCAGTAGAATGTGATAAAGTGCTATGTCTAGTACCCAGCACATAAACCCACTACAATTGAGAGGGGAAAGAGGAAAGAAAGGGGGTGTGAAATGGA